GAGATCAGCGCGGATCGTTACCAGTTTCCTGTCCTTCTCCTGCAGGATGAGGACGCTCTCCCCGATGGTGTCGATCCCGGCCCGACCGGCCCGCCCCACCATCTGCTTGTACTGACTCCTCTTCAGGAAGTCGACGCCGACGTACGGTGAGCGCAGGATGACCCTGCAGGAGGGAAGGTCAGAGGTCAGACGGGAGCAGCTGACCCTGCAGGCTGCAGACGCACTTTAAGGTTCTCCTCTGACCTTCGGGCCGGGAGGTTGATCCCTGCTGCCAGGGTGGAGGTGCAGGTGAGGAGGCAGAGCACCCCCCCAGAGTAGGCCTCCTCGATCAGCTTCCTCTCCTCCGAGGTCAGCCCGCTGTGGTGGTAGGCCACGCCGTACGGCACCGTCCTCCTGAGCACCGGACACATGGAGCCGTTCCCGCTGTCCTTCAGCTCTCTGAGCAGGGCGGCCTTCTCCGCCTCACGGTGCTGCAGGAACTGCCTGAGGAGACAGAGGAGCTGAAAGGCAGCAGGAGGCGCAGCCATGCAGGGAGGAACGGCGGGGAAATCCACTCACTCCTTCAGATACTTGCAGATCATCCCTGCCACGTTCTCGCAGTTCTTCTTGGTGGGACAGAAGACCAAGCAGGAATGCAGCGGGATGACTTCAGTCACCAGAGCGATGATGTGATCCGGGTCCATCTTCTGCATGGAGCTGGAGTACTGCAGCAGGAGGAGGACACCGTCAGCCGGCCGCCATGTTTGAAACCCGGAGGAATCGGAACTCACTTTAAAATTGAGCGTTCTGGAGAATCTGAAGCCGTTCTCCTCCTTTGGGTCGACCTCATAGATGGTGTCGTTCAGTTTAACGTATTCCTTCAGCTGAACCTGCGAATGAACGCGGGACATCAGAGTCATGGAGCAGCCGCCATGATGCTTCCATTAACCGCCTGTCAGGCAGCGGCGGCCCGCCGCTCTGACTTCCTGTTTGCTGTAGAAGCGTTTCTCCGTCATCAGACAGAAACTGACTGACTTACTGGCCTGAAGTCATTGGTGTAATTCTCTGCCCCCAGAAACGTCTGCAGATCCCTGATGTTTCCCAGAGTGGCGCTCATCCCAACGATCTGGGTGGCTTCTGGAACGACACAGGATTATTTCTCACCCACTCATCCATTCATTCATTCATCCATCCATTCATTCATTCATCAGACCCTGCAGGAAGCTGCTTACTACTCATGAACAGAACTTTGGCCAGAGTCATTTCGATCACCGCCCCCCTGCTGCCGTCGCCCAGCATGTGGAGCTGCAAAGACAGCACAACGCGTCAGAGCTGTTGCTGTTGCCATGGTGACCTCTGAACTGACGGGACGTTCACCTCATCGACCACCAGCAGCCCCAGGTCCTCCAGCCGGCCGCCTTCTATCAGAGAGTTGACCAGGCTGTGCGCCTTCTCGATGGTGGCGACGTACAGCGACCTCCTGCTCCTTCTCTTCACGGGGGGAAAGCGGCCCTTGCTGCCGGCGTATTCCTCCACCATGAAGTCTAGTTCCAGGCCGAAGTTGGCCAGGCCGCGCACCTGGGGAGGAGACCGACGTGAAACGAAAACTTTAAAAACTACTTCTCTAAGGAAATTAGCCGTTTTCTTAGGTTTTTGTTAATTTTTTCTTCCAGCCGAATCCAAATGATCAAATATTTCTGCTAACTTCCAGCAGGCCAATAGAAACGCGTCTAATCTGGAAAAACTAAGAGAATAAAGTGTGTAAAATCAATATAAAACAAGGAAAAGTTCCTCTCAAAAGCCTTTATAAATGAAAAGCTTTAATTTCTGGATCTTTTAAATTTTAAAAACAGGATCTTTGTCTTCAGCCATAAAGCAGATCCCTGCTCCTCCTTCAGTTTTCAATCCTGTTAAAGAAGCAGAGAACTTTGAAGGCCTCTGGCTGCTGACCTTAATGGCCGCCGTCCTGCAGGCTGTGGCCGTTTTACCTCCTCAGTACGGCTCGGCAATTAGTTGCCCTTGCAATTGTTTCCTGTCAGGGATAAAGTGTGAAATATGTGTTTTTATCCTCTCTTTCCCAAAGTTGCTCCCATTTTCCATGGAGACAAAGGCAGCACTAGAAAACGCCTTGACCTGGGCAGCCAGGTAACCGCCCCCCCTCTCAGCCCCCCCCAGCCTAATATCATCACAAAATGCAATATTTACATCTAGGACTGGAAAAAAAAAAAGAAATCAATCGATTTCTTTACATTTTAGCCATATCGATTTCTCTGGAATGAGATCAGTTCGTTTCATAGTGACATGAGTCACGTTCACTGTCAAATGAGCAGCGTGTGCAAATGGCGACACACGTAACAAACCACTCAGCGAGTCTGATGTCTGGAAAC